CCCACGGCGCGAGAGGCAGGCCGGCGCCCCCGGAGAGGCGGAGCACTGCAGACACGCCTCCCCCGGGTGGGCAGAGCGATGCAGCCGCGAGACCTCACTCAGAGGGAAGAGGGAACGCCTGCGCCAGGGAGGTGGCGCTTCTTCTTCTTCGGCGCGAAGCGGTCAAGTCGCGATGCCTCATTTGCTCGGTCATCGCCACTTGCCACCGCATGTGGACGGCAAGAGAAGGCACTGTCGCGCCGCGGACAGGAGAACAATGCGGCGACCGGGCCAGAGGTCGGTCCATACGCCGGAGGTGTGCGCGGCGAGCGCAGACAAAATACTGAGACAGCTGCGCTGGAGAGGCATGGCTTGGCGGCCACGGTGCGAGGGTGCGGCGCCAGGCCAAGCCTCCCGCATCACTGCGCTTGCGCGACAACCCGCGAGCGAGCTTCGTATTGTACAGAAGCCGCTCCGCCCCAGGATCCGGGCTCGTGGTCTGCTGCTGTTGTGGGTGTCAGATCGTGCTCTGCTGCTCGTCCTCCCCCGTCCCCCTCCCCCTCCTTCCATCTTTTCGGCCTGGGCTACTGCGAGCGGCGCTGTCGCGCTGCGGGGGGCAAAGAGGCTTCCGGGCGGGGAAGCAAAAACCAACAAACAAAAAACGGCCAGCCCGACCAGCCGCGTGCAGGCCCGCTGTGGCTGGCCTGCCCGTGGAGGAAGGCTCGCACGACGGGTCATCCGCGCCGTCACGTGCGCAAGGGGTCTCGAGATCTAGTCCGCCTTCAAGTCGGCCGCGACGCGGAGCGCCGTGACCGCGAGGACCGGGCTGAGCAGGGCCCAGCCCCCGATGATGTAGCCGAGCCCGTAGCCGACGCCGTTCGCGATGTCCCCGAGCTTGCCTCTGGCCGCCACGATGCCGTCGTTCTGGTCGTCCTGGACCCAGCACGTCGTCTCCTTCCCCAGCGCGCTGAGGCCGCTGGCCCACGCGGCGAGCAGGAGGACCCAGGCCACGCCGAAGGAGGCGGCGGTGCCCCAGAGTACCTTGCGCATTTCCCGCTTGTCCCCCCTGGCGAGGTATGCGAGCATCGCCGCCATCCCCAAAAGGCAGAAGACGATCCCGGCCACGCTCAGGCCGCCCGCGGCCGTCAGGCCGCCGACGTCCGTGCAGAGGTCGCCGAGCGGGATGCAGCAGGCCTTCGGCAAAGCGTCCGAGCTGCAGGACGACGCCGGGGCCGCGGCCCACTTGGTGCCAGACTGGCTGTAGTCGATGGTGTACGGTCGGGAGACCGCGGCGGACACGTTGGCGCACTGCGTCGCATGCAGGTCTCCGCACCCAGCTAGCGCCTCACACTCGCTCAGCCAGTCCGCCGTCGTGGCGCTCGGGCACCCCTGCCACGACTCCTCGTAGACGGTGTTGGCGCCCAGGACGGTGGAGAAGTCGCTCTGGTCGGCGCAGGCGGAGCTGAGGCCATCCATGCACGTCGCGAGGTGCGCATCAAGGGCCGCGCCCGTTAGAGGGCTCGGGGCCCAGCCCACCTCCTCAGCGAACATTGCGGAGCACGCGCTCCAGGCGCCGATGCCGACGTGGTCCCGAGCGTCGAAGGACGCGTACTTCATGTCGGACAACTTGGCGTTCGGCACCGCCATCAGCAGGACCAGGATCGAGTACCAGCCGAGCCCGTAGGCACAGGGCGCCAGCCACCACTGCCTCGCGCCGCCGATGTCGGTGCTGCCGATGTTCGACTCCTCCCACGCGGCGGACCGACCCTCGCCGTCCGCGGTGGCCATCTTCATGCTGGGCGTGCCGCCCACGTGGCCGCATGGACAGTCCAGGAGCTATAGGCCACCCCCCCCCCCCCCCCCCCCCCCCTGGGGGGAATGATCCCGAAGACGACGAAGATGTAGGCGACGGGAAACCAGCGCAGGTCGGCGGCCACGCTACCCAGCGCCCTGGCCATGGTGAGCGGCACGGCGCGCATGGCAGGAATCGGGAACCAAATGAGAGCGCCGATGAGGTTGAAGAACAGGTGCGCAAACGCCACCGTCATGCCAGTTGCGACGTTTGAGCCCGCCAGCGCAGACAGCATGCCCGTGACGGTGGTGCCCACGTTCGCGCCGACGGTGAACGGGAACATCTTGTCGAGCTTGATGAGGCCGATTCCGACGAGCGGCGTCAGCGTCGAGGTGGTTATGCTGCTGCTCTGCATGAGGATGGTGATGCCCACGCCGAAGAGGATGAGGATGTAGTCGGCTACAAAGGGCACCGTCTTGAACTCCAGGTTCAGCAGCCCCTGCATCCAAATCGCGGCGCGGCCCCGGAAGATCGTCTGCAGCAGCTTGACCAGGAGGATAAGCGTGGTAGACAGCATCACCAGAGAGATGACCAGCAGCAGCCACCCAGCCCCCCCGTCGCTCAGGGGGGTGTCCAGGAACAAATGGTTGTCCTGAGTGCGCTTGTTTTGGATGATCGACTGTGCCAGCAGGTCGTCCAGCGTGTCCTGGTCGCTCGCCTGCGCAACCTTGGTCACCAGTTTCTTGTCCACAGAGATCAGGCGAGAGGTGACCGGCTTCGTGAGCTTCTTGATGAAGTCGATCTTCTCCTGCTTCTCCTGGTTCTCCTCGATGCCAGCGGACTCGACAAGGCCACTGCCGATGTGGTAAAGCATGTGGGTAAAGTACTCGAGCGGGAGCAGGATGGACACTGTCAACAGATTGAAGCAATCGTGCACCGTTGCGCCCGCGAACGCCCGGCGGTACTGGTCCACGTCCCCCATGTGGGACATGCTGACGATTGTGTTGGTGACGGATGTGCCAATGTTCGCCCCCATGATCATGTAAACAGCGTTCTTGGGATCGATTAGGCCTGCCGCTGTCATCGAAATGATGATGGATGTGCTGGTCGACGAGGACTGCACCAGCACCGTCGACAGGATCCCGAGGGAGCAACCGGCGAACGGATTGTTGAAGATGGCGTTGTTCCGGAAGACCGCCCCAGCGGTGGGGCCGCCGATGACCTTGAACGCGTTGCCCATCATGCTCAGGGAGATGAGAAAGATGTAGAGAAGCCCCACCGCCATCACCACCTTCAGCAACTGGATGATCACGAAGAGAGCCTTCTCTGGGCCAGTCCGCTGTGACCACGCCTTGTCTCCGGACTCCATCTGCTTCACATCCCACTTGTCCACCACTGCCGCCATCTTTATGGGAACTCTGCTTGCTGTCTGCGTCCGGGAGTCCCCAGGCGATCCGCCTCCCCGAAGGCCTGCCTGCTTGAGCTGCGGGAGCCCGAGCAAAAAACGGCTTGAGCCCAAAAAATGGCTACGGAAGCGGTTCAGGGGGGTCTCCTGGGCCACCTTTGTTGTTGTGAGGGCCCAGGAAGCGAACATGCTAAAAATGCACTCGTTCCCACGGGAGCGGTGAAAATTCTGCCTCTCGGAGCCCTCTCGGCTTTCGTCTTCGAGCGCTACCGGGGCGTCTTCGAGGCTGCTGGCGCCGTTCGAGACGCCTCGTTCGCAGCCTGGAACCCCTGGAGACCGTCCCGGGGACGACACGGGGCCCTGTTGAGCCGCCTTGGCAACGGTCTGAGCGCTGTGGAAGCGGGCGGACCTGGGACCCCAGAGCTGACCAGGCCTCAAGCACCCTAACTGTTGGTGAATGCTCGGTAGCGGTCCGGACCCACGGGCCCAACCGGCCGGGTCTCCCGTGATATGTATCCGCCGCCCTGCTTGCACGGAGTGGGCGTGTTGGAATGCCTGTTGTTGTCTGGGAGGCTCTAATGTTTCCAGAGGCCGACCCACCCACCTCAGCACGCGCGTGCTTCGAAAGACGCCCCCTCATAAACTGCTTTGCGGCGCCCTTTTCAGCCTCCCAGCGGCCAAGACGGCCTCCAGGACGGCTTATCAAACAGCCAAGACGACACCCAAACGGCTGCAGATGGCGCAAGACGACTCAAGAGACTCTGACGGCCTCAAGACGGACCGAGAGGCCCCCAACACTGCCTAAGAAGCACTCCAAGAGAGTCCAAGGAAGCAACAAGCGTTGATTTGCCTTGTGTGTTTGAAGGATGTTGAGGTTCTCGCCTGTTTGGGCGTCCGACTGCGCCCAAGAGGGCTCCAAGAAGCCTCCAAGATACCTCCAAGACAGCCTATGAGGCTCCCACGAGGGCCCCAAATCGGCCCAAGAGGACGCCAAGATCGCCCAAGAGGCTCCCAAGAGGGCCCCGAGACGACCCTAAAGCCCTTCAAGAGCGCACCAAGACGGCCCAGAAAGGCCCCCAAGACGGCGTCGGAAGGCGTCAGACAGGCCAATCGCCTCTCTAAGACGGCCCAAGAGGCCCCAAGAGACCTCCCAAAGGCCCCAGAGGCTGAAGTGTAAGTCTCTGGGGGGTGGGGGGCCGTCGGCTGGGCCCGTCCGAGGCGGGTCGCAGTCTCGGGCGGGAACGAAAAGTTCTCTGACGGGCCCCCCAAGATGGGCCGGCGGAATGAGCGAAGCGACTCAACGAGAAGAGGCACCACGAAGCCCGTGGAAATATCCTGGCCCCCGCCATGATATCCAACCCCCCCCAGTCATCACCTCCCTCCCAGGGGAGCCCAGAATCGAATCGATAAGTCGGATCGGCGATCGAAATAAGTCGGATCGGCAAAAATCGGCAGCCGAGTCGGGAAAAGTCGAATCGGCGGAAATCGGCAGGCAAGTATGCGTCCAATAAGAAATCGGAGCCCAAATCGGAATCCGAAATCGACTCAAATCGGAATCGGAATCCATCGGAGTCGAATCGAATCGAATCGGAGGATTCGAAACGAGCCCTGCCCTCCTGGCCGCCCCCGAAGGAGAGGCGCGCGCGCGCGATCCCCAGCGCGCGCGCCAGCTGCGCGCGGCGGGGCCCGGCGCTCGCCAGGGGAGCACGCGCGCGCACGCGCTGGCCGCTCCCTTCGCGCGCGCGCGCTCGCGGCGCGCGGCGTCACCTGCGCGCACGCTCCTTCGCGCGCGCGCGTTCCTTCGTGCGCGCGCGCTCCTTCGCGCGCGCGCGCGCGAGCCGCGCGGGGCTCGGGGAGCGCGCGCGCGAGGCGAGCTGGGCTGGCGCGCGCGCGGCAGTGCCCCCCCGCGCGCTGCCGCAGGCGGCGCGCGGCGAGCTTGCCATCGCGAGCGCCTTCGCGCGGGCCCCCGCGGGCAGCGTCGGGCATCACGCGCGCTTGGTCATCGCGCGCAGTTGTCCTGCCGCGCACGCCCAAACCGCGCGGCGGGCCGCGCGGAAATGGCGAACCGTTCATTTACTGACCTCGTGTCTTGGCTGATGGTGCGTACTGGCGAACCGTTCATTTACTGACCTCGTGTCTTGGCTGATGGTGCGTACTGGGATCAGTAGTAGGAATACTGGCGGCGATTTTTCTCTGAAGGACAACCACGGTGTCTCTACGTTCACGTTAGTACTAGTATCCAACCGCTTGGGGTGACTCAGCATTAACAACGTTTGAGACGCGTGACGGGCGACACGCTTTCATGCATCAAAAAGCTGTTGAGTGTGATCAACATGTGTTTGTCTGTCGCCGTTTTGTGTTCCTGTGGAGATGGGCGCTATGACATTGGGCCTCCGAGAGAACCTCCAGGAGAACCCGAAGAGATCCCTCCTCCTCTTTTCTTTCTCGCCGCGTGTTCCCCAAAGCGTTTCCTGAGCGGCTGGGGAAGCACATGATCCGATGGCTTGGCCGAGCTCTGGCCACAACGTTCGGCCACTTCCAAAAGGCAGGGGGCTGCGGTGATTCGCCGTAGGCGTCTTCGATCTGCCGCCCCGTGGTCTTGCCACAAGAGTTCACGGCATGCTGGACTTTGGTGACTTCGGTTCTTTTGAAAACTCCTAGTGGAGTCTCGGCCCAACCCAACGGCTACCCGTAAAGGCCGGGAAAGCCGTCCGAAATACGCATCCTGATGCCCAAATCGCCGCCAAGACGGCCCAGATGGCACAAGATGGTTTTCAAGACGGCCAAAAGGACCAAACATGGCCTGCACGACTGCCCCAAGATGTCTCTCAGACGGCCAAGATGGTCTCGAGAGAGCCCAGGATGGCTCCAAGATTGACCCAAAAAGTCCCACAATGACCTCAAGATGTCCCAAGGCCTCCAAGAAGATGCAGAAAGCCCCGAAGAGGCCAAAATCATCGATTGTCCTTAGGTTGTTACATCGGCGTTTGTTCACGTTCGGCTTTCCAAGGGCCCAAGACGGCCCCAGAGGCCACCAAGATGGCCCCAAGAGTGCCCAAGAGGCCTCCGAGATGGACCCCTGACTGCCCAAGAGCCCCCCAAGACGGCCACAAGAGGGCCCAAGACGGCCCACAGGAGACCTCCAAGACGCCCAAAATGACCTGCAAGACGGTCCTGAGGCGCCCCAAAAGGGCGCCAAGTCGGCCCAGAGAGGCCCTCAAGACAGCTTCCGACGGCGTCAGAAGGCCCAGGAACGCCCTCAGACGGCCAAAGAGCTGCCCAAGGAGCCCCAAAGTCATCCAAGAGGCCCAAGAAAGCCCCCAAGAGGCCTCCAGGAGTACACCAGGAACCTCCCAGGAGGCCTCACGAGTGCCCGACGAGTGCCCCAACGGGCACCCAAGAGGCATCCTCCTCCTCATTCTCCTCCTCCTCCTCCTCCTCCTCCTCCTCCTCCTCCTCCTCCTCCTCCTCCTCCTCTTTCTCCTCCTCTCTTCACTGTTCTCCCCCACGTGTTCCCCGAAAGTTTCCACAACGCCCATGGGAACACATAGTCCGATAGCTTGGCCGAACTCTGGCCGCAACGTTCGGCCACAGAGGATCTTCCAACAGGCAGGGAGCGGCGGTGATTCAACGTAGGCATCTTTGATAAGCTTGAACCACGCGCGCGCTGCGTGCGCGCTTCATTTCTAGCGGAGGGCTGGGCAGGGAGGATATAGGATTGTGGATGCCACGACAATGGACACCCCAACAGCCCTATCATTGAATTTACAATGTGTTCAACATGTCGGAAATAATCTTCTAAACATGCTTTAAACATGTGTTTTTACATGTGTAAATCATGTTTACACATGTCTTAGACATCTGGAAAGTATTTGGCAACATGCTTCCTCTCCATTGATCGTCCTCCACAAAATTAGGAGCGAGTTGGTGTTTTTAACATCCGCGAAGCTACCCGCATACACCACTGAGAAGGGGAAGGTCTAGGCGAGAGAGCCCCAGGGTCGTCAGTGCTCCTTGGCGTCCCTCTTGGGAGGCCAGGGGACGAAGCGGCTGACGCGCAGCTGGTACTCGGCGTACGCGGGGTACTTGCTGCTCGACAGCATCTCGGTCACGTCGAGGGAGCCCTCTGAGGCACCAGGAACGGACGAGGTCAAGCAATGGGAGCTGCAGGGCACAGAAGAGGAGGCGGAAGGGGGGCAAGAAGAACTGAGAGGAGCAGGAGAAGAAAGATGAGGAGGGCAGGATCGCGATGGGGAGAGGAGCAGCAGGAGGAGGAGGAGGAGGACGAGGGGTGGGGAGGGGCAGGTACGGAGGGAAAGAAGGAGAAGAGGAGAAACCAGAAGGGGGAGGAGAAAGAGGGCGATGGGGTAAGGCGGATGTGGAGAAAGGGAGAATGCGGTGGAATGAAAAGGGTAAGCAGTGGGGAATGATGCAGAAGTATCAATCCGCCGGCCCACTTGCGGGGCAAACGGGCTGCGAAGATCAGGCTACAACAACGCAGGTATCGTATCAGTCCCGAGCTTCTCGGCCCCAACCACACACATCAGTGCAGCTTCCAGTTTCCAGTCTCGTTTTGCTTTGGACCGTAAACTGTTCCTGCCCGCGCGAAGGGGGGGGGGCGGGGGAGGGGCGAAAACCAACCTGATTACCATAACCTCCTGTGGTCCTCAGAATTCACCAGGAAGCCCTGGTACACATAAGAATACATGAGATTTGCGTTCCCGAGGTCTTGAACCTGGTGAGATAAACCAGGTTCGCGCCCCCAGGGCAAAGATCCCGGGTAAATTGCACTAGATTCGCGCACCCGAGGCCACAATCCCTCGCAAACTACGCCACGCCAAACCCGGGCACCCAAAGCCACGAGCCCGCTTAAACTATGCGCGATTCGCACCCCCGAGGCCACGAGCCCTCGCAAACAAGTGGCACGCGTGCAGTGACTCTTGCACAGAAAAGAAGGGGGATGATGATGATGATGATGATGATGATGATGATGATGATGATGATGATGATGATGATGATGATGATGATTATGATGATGATTATGATGGTGGTGATGATGATGCTGCTGATGATGATGTGGTGGTGATGATGATGACGATGATGATGAAACTGATGATGATGATGATGATGATGATGAATGATGATGATGATGATGATGCTGATGTATGATGATGATGATGCTGATGATGATGATGATGATGATGATGAATGATGGGTGGTGGTGGTGGTGGTGGTGGTGGTGGTGGTGGGTGGTGAGGAGGGGAGAAGGAGGAATGAGGAGGAGGAGGAGGAGGAGAAGGAGGAGGACAAGGAGGAGGAGAAGGAGGAGGAGGAGGAGGAGGACGGGGAGGAGGAAGAGGAGGAGAGGGGGCGAGAAATCGGACGAGGGTTTAGAGAGGGCCGCGGGGCTTAGAGAGGGCTCAAAGACCTTCAGCACGCTCCCACGAGAACTCCAACAACCAAACTTGCGACCCGAGCCGTTTCGCTCCACCCTCAGGGTCAGGCAACGGGGCTCAAATCTCAGGTGGGAGTTGTGCGGTGCGCTGGGGGCGGTGGCGGTGTCCTGTGTGCCCGGGGCGGAAGGGGCGGCGCCGTGCCGAAATAAAAGGGGTCGGTGCGGAGGGGGCGCGCTGGCTGGTGGGTGGGGGGGGCGCGGAGGGCGCGGGCCAGAGGGGGCGCGCTGGCTGGTAGGTGGGAGGATGCGGAAGACCTATTAGTAACGGGTCGGGGCAGCGGAGCCGCGCCGAAATCAAGGGTTCGGGGCGGAGGGGGCGCGCTGGCTGGCGGGTGTGGGGATGCGGAAGAAGCGCGCAGGATGGGGTAGCGGTGCCGTGCCGAAATATACGAGTCGGGGCGGGGAGGGCGCTCTGAGGAATGCGGAGGGCGCGATCGGGATAGGAGGAGAGCGGTGCCGTGCCGAAATAAAGGAGTCGGGGCGGAGGAGGCGCTTTTGCTGGTGGATGGGGTGATGGCAGCGGCGTTCGGGGCGGGGGGGCGGTGCCGCACCGAAATGAAAGGGGCCCAGGCGGAGGAGGCGCGCTGGCTGGCGGGCGGGGCGATGCAGAAAGGGAGCTCGGGATGGGGGGCGCGGTGCCGTGCCGAACAACCGGAGGGGGCGCGTTGGCTGGCAGGCGGGGCGGGGCGGAAGGGCGTGCGGGATATCGGGGGGGCGGTGCAGTGCCGAGATACAAAACATCGGGGCTGAGGGGGGCGGTGCCGCGCCGAAATAAAGGGGTCGGGGCGAAGGGGGCGCGCCGGCTGGTGGGTGGGCGGGCGCGGGGGGGGGGGCAGGCCAGAATGGGCGCGCTGGCTGGCAGGTGGGAGGACGCGGAAGGCCTATTCTAAGGGGTCGGGGCGGGGCGGGGCCGTGCCGAAATAAAAGGGTCGGGGGGCGCGCTCGCTGGTGGGTGGGGGATGCGGAAAAGGCGCGCGGGGGGGGGGGTGCCGTACCGAAATGAAAAGGGACCCGAGTGGAAGAGGGCGCACTGCGCGCGGGGCGATGCAGACGGGGCGCTCGGGACGCAGGGGGCGGTGCCGTGCCGAGAAAAAATCAAGGCGGACGGGGCGCGCTGGCTGGCGTGCGGGGCGACGCGGAGGGGGCGCGCACGACGCGGGCGGCGGTGCCGTGCCGATGCGCGAAAATCGGGGCAAAGGGGGCGGTGCCGCGCCAAAATGAAGCGTTCGGGGCGAGGGGGGCGCGCTGGCTGGCGGGCGGGGGGGCGCGGAGGGAGCGCGGGCCAGACGGGGCGCGCTGGCTGGTGGGCGGGAGGGCGCGGACGGGGCGCGCTGGCTGGCGGGGCGGGGCGGCGCCGCGCCGAAATAAAAGAGTCGGGGTGGATGGGGAATGAAGGTCGGGGCGGATGGGGGCGCTCTGGCCGGCGGGTTGGGGGGTGCGGGGGGGGAGCACGCGGGATGGATGGAGGGGCGGGCGCTGCCGCGCCGAGGTAAAGCGGTCAGGGGGGAGGGGGCGCGCTGGCCAGTGGACGGGGCCACGGGGGTGGCGCTCGGGATGGGGGAGGCCGCGCCGTGCCGAAATCCAAGGGTCGGGGCGGAGGGGGCGCGCTGGCTGGCGGGCGGTGCGATGCAGAACGATGCAGAAGGGGCACTCGGGAGGAGGGGGCGGTGCCGCGCCGAAAGGTCGGGGCGGAGGGGGCGCGCTGGCTGGCAGGTGGGGGGCGCGGAAGAGGCGCGCAAGATATGGATGGGGGGGGTATTAAAAAGGTCGGGCGGAGGGGCGCTATGGCCGGTGGGTGGGTGGGTGCGGGGGGGGCGCGCGGAGCAGGGGGGGCGCCGCCGTGCCGAACTGAAGGTCGGGGCGGACAAGGCGCGCTGGCGAATGGATGGGGCGATGGAGGTGGCACTCGGGATGGGGAGGGCCGTGCCGCGCCGAAATCAGGGGGTCGGGGCGGAGGGGGCGCGCTGGCTGGCTGGTGGGACGACGCGGAGGGGGCGCTCGGGAGGTGGGGCGGTGCCGTGCCGAAAGGTCGGGGCGGATGGGGCGCGTTGGCTGGTGGTTCTGGTGATTCGGGGGGGGCGCGCGGAGCGGGGGGGGGCCGTGCCGAGATACAAATAATTGGGGCTGAGGGGGCGGGCTGGCGGGCGGGGCGGAAGTGGCGCGAGAGGCGGGGGGGGCGGTGCCGCGTCAAATATAAAAGGTCGGGGCGGCGGGGGCGCTCTGACTGGTGGGTGGGGGGGCGCGCGCGGGATGGGAGTGGGGCGGTGCCGCACGGAAATGAAGCGGCCGGGGCGGACGGGGCGCGCTGGCTGGCGAGTGGGGCGGCGCTGAAGTGGCGCCCGGGATGGGGGAACGGCGCGGTGCCGAAATACAAAAAGGCGGGGAAAGGGGGGGGGCGCTGGCTGGCGGGCGGGGCGGCGCGGAGGGGGCGCGCGGGACGGGGATGGAGGGGGGGCGGGCCCTGCCGAAAGGTCGGGGCTGTGGGAGCGCGCTGGCTGGTGGGCGGGGCGATGCGGAGGTGGCGCGCGGGATGGGGGGGCGGCGCCGCGCCGAAACAAAGCGGCTGCGGAGCTCTAGACACCCCGTGCACGAGAATGGCCCCTCCAACAATTACGCTGCCCTCGCGCAGCCCCCGAGGCCAAGACCCCTTGTGGATTGCGCCAGGCCCGCGCCCCCGAGGCCACGATCCCTTTAAACTGCTTTGGCTTCGGGTTCACTGCCCGCTGTTCTTAGAAAGTACACCAAACCCGCGCCCCCGAGGCGACGATCATTCATGCACGTTGCGCCAGACTCGCGCCCCCGAAGCCGCGAGTAAATGACGTCGCGATCACCAGCCGTCGCCGCAGGAGGTTCCGACATTGCTTCAAGACGGCGCCCAGGCATCCCGACATAAACTCTGGAAAATCCCACTGCGATGAGGAACGAGGGCCGGCTGCGCAGGCCGAGGCCCTCACGGTTGTAGTGTGGCGCGCTCAAGCCATTCGCACCAAGTGACAAGAAGAGCTGGCCCAAACTTGCCACGACGATGACAGCGCGGGCGCCGTTCCATGTTGCGCAAGCTAAATGGGATGCGACCACGTGGCACGGTTACCAGGACAAACCACAGAGGGGCGGGGAGCGATGGTCCAGGCTTGAGGAGGACATGGCGGCGGGAACGGAGGGCAGGAGCGGCAGCAGCAGAGGGAAGGTGGCAGGGGGCAGAGGACGACGACGAAAATGACGGGGGGAAACCGAGGAGTGTTGCTTTTGTCGGTAGTACGCTAAATATGCAGCGCTACCTGCGCCATGTCGCCGCAGCGCTCGAGAAATGATTACACCTGCTTAGTGCAACTAGCGAGCGAAAAATAGCTCGCCCGCCAATTTCTCTGCTTCTTTCCCGACGGCCCCCCCCCCAGGTGACAGAAAAAGGCGTCACCCCGCTAGGCCCCAGGGATAAACAAAAACGATCCTGGTGGTCCGCGTAAGACGTCACTCCGCTCGACCCCCCAGCAGCCCTCCAAAGTGCCGACATATTCGCAAATCGCAGCCACCCAAGGATGGCGAGGTCTCCTGGTGGTCCGCGTAGGACGCCGCTCCGCTGCACCCCCAGCAGCCCTCGAAAGTCCAGGGATGGCAACGTCTTCTGGTGGTCCGCGTGGGACGTCACTCCGCTGCACCCCCCAGCAAACCTCGAAAGTGGAAACCGTTTCGCGGATCGCGGCCCCCCAGGGATGGCGAGGTCTCCTGGTGGCCCGCGTAGGACGTCGCTCCGCTGCACCCCCCAGCAGACCTCGAAAGTGGCGACAGGCTCGCAGACCGCAGCCCCCACCGCAGCCCCCCAGGGATGGCGAGGTCTCCTGGTAGGAGGCAAGCTGGCACGCAGGAAGGAGCGAGGTGAAAGGCAGGAATGGAAGATGAGAGGAGGAGGGAGGCGGGAGGAAGGTGGAGACAGCAGTGCTCTAGTCAAAACGAATACTCCGCTGCACCCCCCAGCAGACCTCGAAAGTGGCGACAATTCCGCATATCGCACCCCCTCAGGGATGGCGAGGTCTCCTGGTGGTCCGCGTGGGACGTCACTCCGCTGCACCCCGCAGCAGCCCTCGGAAGTGGCGACAGGCTCGCAGACCGCAGCCCCCCCCCCCCCCAAGGAAGGCGAGGTCTCCTGGTGGTCCGCGTAGGACGTCACTCCGCTGCACCCCCAGCAGCCCTCGAAAGTGGCGACGGGCTCGCAGACCGCAGCCCTCCAGGGATGGCGAGGTCTCCTGGTGGCCCGCGTAGGACGGCATTCTTCTCTACCCCTCAGCAGCCCTCGAACGTGGCGGTAGTTTCGCAGATCGCAGCCCCCCAGGGATGGCGAGGTCTGCTGGTGGTCCGCGTAGAACGTCACTCCGCTGCACCTCCCTACCAGCCCTCGAAAGCGGCGACGGTTTCGCAGACCGCAGCCCCGCAGGGATGGCGAGGTCTCCTGGTGGTCCGACAAGGACGTGGCTCCGCTGCACCCCCCAGCAGCCCTCGAGAGTGGCGACGTATTCGCAGATCGCAGCCCTCCAGGGATGGCGAGGTCTCCTGGTGGCCCGCGTAGGACGTCATTCTTCTCTACCCCTCAGCAGCCCTCGAAAGTGGCAATAGTTTTGCAAATCGCAGCCCCCCAGGCATGGCGAGGTCTTCTGGTGGTCCGCGTAGAACGTCACTCCGCTGCACCTCCCTACCAGCCCTCGAAAGCGGCGACGGTTTCGCAGACCGCAGCCCCGCAGGGATGGCGAGGTCTCCTGGTGGTCCGACAAGGACGTGGCTCCGCTGCACCCCCCAGCAGCCCTCGAGAGTGGCGACGTATTCGCAGATCGCAGCCCTCCAGGGATGGCGAGGTCTCCTGGTGGCCCGCGTAGGACGTCATTCTTCTCTACCCCTCAGCAGCCCTCGAAAGTGGCAATAGTTTTGCAAATCGCAGCCCCCCAGGCATGGCGAGGTCTTCTGGTGGTCCGCGTAGAACGTCACTCCGCTGCACCTCCCTACCAGCCCTCGAAAGCGGCGACGGTTTCGCAGACCGCAGCCCCGCAGGGATGGCGAGGTCTCCTGGTGGTCCGACAAGGACGTGGCTCCGCTGCACCCCCCAGCAGCCCTCGAGAGTGGCGACATATTCGCAGATCGCAGCCCTCCAGGGGGGTGGCGAGGTCTCCTGGTGGCCCGCGTAGGACGTCATTCTTCTCTACCCCTCAGCAGCCCTCGAACGTGGCGGTAGTTTCGCAGATCGCAGCCCCCCAGGGATGGCGAGGCTTTCTGGTAGTCCGCGTAGAACGTCACTCCGCTGCACCCCCCAGCAGCCCTCGAAAGTGGCGACACACTCGCAGACCGCAGCCCCCCAGGGATGGCGAGGTCTCATTCCTGGTGGTCCGCGCAAGACGTCGCTCCGCTGCACCCCCCAGCAGACCTCGAAAGTGGCGACAGGCTCGCAGACCGCAGCCCCCCCAAGGATGGCGAGGTCTCCTGGTGGTCCGCGCAGGACGTCGCTCCGCTGCACCCCCCAGCAGCCCTCGAAAGTGGCGACAGGCTCGCAGACCGCAGCCCCCCAGGGATGGCGAGGTCTCCTGGTAGGAGGCAAGCTGGCACGCATGAAGGAGCGAGGTGAGAGGCAGAGAGGCAGGAAGGGAAGATGAGAGGAGGGAGGCGGGAAGAAGGTGGAGACAGCAGTGCTCTAGTCAAAACGAGTACTCAACGCAGGAGGGTTGGGAATGAGAGGGAGGAGGGAGGAAGGCATACTGAGGAGAGGGAGGAAAGAACAGGGGGGGGGCAACGAGAGCAGACTGGAACGGGGGAAGAGGAATGGGACGGAAAGGAGGGAGGGGGCAACGGGGACTGCGGCAGAAGGAGACGTAGGCCAGGAGGCACGGGGCGGGAGGCAGGAGGAGGAGGAGGCGCAGAAGGAGGACAGGGCAGAGAAACGAGAGCAAAGACAAAGCGGGAGGAAGGAGGTAAGGATTAGGAGGACAAAAACGCGAGGAGAAGGATGAGGAGGAGGAGGAAAAGAGGATGATGATGATGAGGAGGAGGAGGAGGAGGAGGAGGAGGAGGTGAACGACGACCACGACGACAACGACGACGACGACGACGACGACGACGACGACAGCGGCGGCGGCGGCGGCGACGACGACGACGACGAAGAGGGGGACGGAGAAGTGGAGAAGGAGGAGGAGGAGGACGGAGACAGGACAAGTAGGAGGAGGGGGTGGAGGAGGAGGAGGCCTGAGGCACCAAGAACAGCATCGACAAAAACACTGGCCCCCATATTGTCCAGTTCAGCCAGGAGCCAGTGGCTGCTACGCCGAAAACGTAGAAAGCCCACCACATGCTCACCTGGCAAGGGGGGGAAACAACTTTCCCACTCCGCCGCCACCAATTTCTACTCCCCCTCGCTTTCCTCCTCACTCCACCTCCTCTCAACTCTGCCCATCCTCGTCAGACTGTCCCCATTCCCCACCGTAATCACCATGCGCCTCATCAAAAGCAACGGCATCCGCAGAAACCTCGCCAGAATAACCGCGATTCCTACCACCATCCACACCAACATCCTCGTCGTCACCATAATCAAAGCAAACATGCAACATCGGTTTCACCGTCGCCATCGTCATCATGATCGCCGCTTATCATCGTCATCATCGCACCGTCACCGCCACCGTAAACATAATCCAACGCCCGTGTCTGTCCCTCCTCATCACTGTAACCACCGCCTCCGTCATCATCATCGTCATCAGCATCATGATCATCACCATCACCAGCACCATGAGGCCACGGACTGCTCAGACCACTTCAGAAGCAGTGGCCTACGCACCATCTTTGCTCCCCCGTTCCAGCAACATGGCCCAGGGCCCGCGCGATGGAACGCCGACGCAGTGTGGTGCTGCATCGGGTGCCTCTCGCCGTGCTCACGGCCGCGCTGCCGCTCCTGCCGCCAATCCGCACGAAGGTGGCGCCCCCAACATGGCGCGGCGCTCGCGAGCGCAGGCGCACCGTCGGCGGGCTCGGGCACGAGCCTTTCGCCAAGGAGCTGCTTGTGGCGGTCCACCTGGCTATGAGCAGGACTACGGGTACGCCCAGCGGTACTCGCACAGCGACTCCGAGGTGCTGACGCTCGAGCCCTGGGTCATCATCCCCACCCGCGTGCCGCACCCCAGCACAGAGTACTCATGCATTGACGTCATAGAGGCGAAGCTTGTCGTGCTTGCCGCCGTAGCCCCGCCCACACTGAGCTGCACACCAATGCTATGCGACCGCGCTGCTACAGTGGACACAACATACAGCCTCAAGCTCTCATGTGCACCACATGCTGGCTACGTACGCATGCCGCCGATTGACTTTCGCGCCGATCTGGACCTCATGGCAAAGGCCCTGCCCCAGGACGGGAAGCAGTGCAGTATGCGCTGGAGGACTACCCGTTCGCCAATGTCGCCCACGAGCTCGACGTACCTCTCGACATCGCCAGGGTTATGTGGAAGCGCGTCACTGCGAGTCGGCGCGTCCCTGCACTCACACATCTCGACTATATGGAGTTCGTGTTTTTGTACACGATGGACCACACGTATGGCTCCTACTGGGACGACTCCGACCACGTCTTGGATGTCCAACATTTGATGGAGGCCTTCACCCAAGTAGGTAATCCTTGTCAGTACGACCAGATGCGCGCAGCTTTAGATGCGTTGTACCCCAGCCAACTGCACACCTGACGTCCCTGCACCGCCCGAGGTAGAGCATTCATTTGTTTTTAGCACTCGTGCACCGTCGCTCGCACGCATCGCGCTCTGCATGGCTAGAGTGAGCACCGTGCTAGCACACACTGAAGCAATAAGGGTAACGCCCTGGCGGAGGGTTCTAAGCGAATCGTGTTGTACACTACGAATAGCCCCGACTCGCGTATAGCACGCAGTTACTGGTCTTCAGATGTCATAGCCCCATGTGCCGAGAAAAAAGTCACCAGCATCATCATCACCATCAGCATCATCAGCATCATCATTGTCCTCTTCCTCCTCCTCCTCCTCCTCATCATCATCAGTATCATCATCCTCATCATCCTCATCGGCATCGTCATCACCACCATCACCATCACCATCACCATCACCATCACCGTCACCATCTCCATTACCAGTATCAGCATCAGCTTCATCATCAGCATCATCATCAGCATCAGCAGCATCAGCATGCGCATGAGCATGAGCATCAGCATCATCATCAACATCAACATTAGCAGCATCATCAGCATCACCATCACCATCACCAACATCATCGATACCATCATCACCAGCCGCATCCTCGTCAATGTCATCATCATGAGCATCATCATGACCAGTATCATCACCACCATCATCATCAGCAACATCATCATTATCAACAGCCGCATCATCATCATCAGCATCATCATCAGCAGCAGCATCAACAGCGACATCACCATCATCAGCATCAGCATCACCAGCATCATCATCAACAACATCATCGTTATCATCATCAACAGCATCATCAGCATCATCAGTACCATCAGCATCATCAGCATCAGCATCAGCATCGTCATCATCGACAACAGCATCATCATCAGCAACAGCAGCGACATCAACCTCATCATCTCTAAAATCATCCTTACCGTCGCCATCGTCATCTTCACCACCGTCATCATCATGAACTGCCCTTCCCACCTCCGCTTTGTCTTCCCACCGCCCTCATCCGTAACCAATCACTCTGGGAAGCACAAGAGGCGTCAAGCACGTGCACAACCTACCATGCTACATTCTCCTCATCCTCCTCCTCCTCCAATAAAGGGGATAAAAAAGTAGAACCCATTCGTGTTCGCCACGTGTTCGTCCCCCCTTCCCCTCCCCCCAGACTCAAAATTGGGTCGGGCCTCGCGGAGGCCCTGGGGTTCAATTGTTCTTTCATCTCACAATTGTGCTGCCGAATGCTTGGGGCCAACTTTGAATCTGGGGGGGCTGGGGAGGCGGAGTCAAGGGTTCCGCACGTTTGTCCATCTACTGTTATCCTCCTCCTCATCCTCCTCGTCTTTTTCCTCCTCGTCCCCTTCCTCCGCCTTCATCCTCCTGCTTTTTCCAGAGACAAGAAAAAAAGGCAACACAGCACACCACACCCTCTGGCTGGCGCCGAGTGGGACGGCGGCGAAGACGCGAACCAGCGCGGGCAGGTTGTAAACGACCACAACAAGACCTCCAGTTTCCCTCCTCCCCATCTTCCCCATCCTCCCCACTCCCGCCGCCCCACACATAGATTGCATTACATAGGTTGCATCGCATACATTCCCCCTTTTAAAACGAGAATGGACTCTATCCCCCCAGCCCCCTCTGGGATTATCCGTTCCCCTTTTCGTATTCCAATGTGCATACGATATCGCCCCATCGTCCATCCGAGCAATGAATTTACACCACCCCACGGGAGGCAGTATCCCCTCCCTCCCCGCCACCCTCTGCAACAAACAACAATCATGATAATTCAAGAAGCCTTTGAATGTCTATACATATATATATATATATATATATATATATATATGTATAAATATAGGTATATGTCTTAACCCTCTCGTATTATTCTGCATATATGTGTATATACACATTTATGCGCATATATATATATATATATATATATATATATACATATATATATATGTAGATATACAAATGTGTGTCATACATACATATAAATAATGTATATACACACAAGTATGTGTATACTTATATATACACACAATTGCGATTTAAAGATTAAACATATTTTTGTATAAAAACGACGACATGCACCCGCGCGCGCTGTCGCGCGCGCGTGCCGGAAATCTTTCGGAAACCTTCGGTATCGTAAGGCTTTCAAAAATCGACGGTCCAAACAACATGTAAACACACAGGGTTTCGCAACACGAGTTTTCAAACAAAGTTTGCGCGCGCGCTCTTGTGAATTCTTCCCAAAAACACAGGTGTTTCACTATTTTCTGGAAAATGTAACAAAACGGTTTTCGCGCGCGCATGTCAAAATCGTTCGAAAGCCCTTTATGCGCGTGCCACCGCGAGAACCCAAACAAGATGCACGCGCGCGTGGTCGCGCCCGCATGCCGACATCCGACATACCACGTAGGTATCCAAACCATTTCAAACCGAGCGTCACGAAAAAAACATATAAAACACATGGTTTCGCAACATCAATGTTCAAAAAATGCGCGCGCCCACGCTCTTGCGCATTCTTGAAAGGCTCGTAATTTGTTCAACACTGTCAATGAATACTACCAAACAGGCGTCTGGCGCCGCGTGCCGACATCGTTCGCACGCCCTTGCGCGCGTGCTGGGGGGGGGGGGGGCGCGATCGGTGTCGAAGGACACCATGCGGGCCACTGTCGCGAGTCGGCCGCGCGCGCATGTCGAACTCTTTCCAAAACTTTCATCACCGATGCGAAGACGCCGTCATCGTCGCCGGCGCATCAGCATCGGCGCCGTCACTGGCCGCGCCGTCGTCGCGGCCAGCGTCGTCACCAGCATCGCCACTACCATCATTGCGTCTACCACTATCGACGTCGCCATGATACCACGCCCGCCCAAGCCACCGACTCGCGCTGAAGTGCCCGCTGGGATGTGCCGAACGGTCAGCGCCGCCGCGTTCGCGTCGGTCGCGCCAGACTAGAGCTGGCCGCTGCGCGCGCGAGCATGCGCGGGCTAGCGCGGCCGCAGATGCACCTGCCAACGCCAGCACTCATCGCAATCGCCTCCGCCATGGGCGTTGCAAACCAAATTGCGGGCAGGCGGGTGGGGCGATTGCGCGAACAGCCGAGTCGACAACTTCAAAACCGGCGAAGTGAATTCTCAGCAGAAGAGAACCGATTCCATTACCCTCTTGATGCCGGACGTATCGGCGCCCCCTTGGGGCGTGCAGTGCACTTGCGATTCTGCCCCCATCGCCCATCCTGTACATGAACTCATACCACCCCAACTCAGCTGGCATCCGCCCCCCGCCATCCTCTGCAGAAATATTATGCGCGCGTACTCGTCGATTAAAAAAAAAAACGTATGTTTTCGATTGTCCCCCTCGAAGGAAAATGCGACGGAGTGCACGCGCGCGCGGTCGCGCGCGCGCGCCGAAATCCTGCCCCAACCGTTGGTTGCGCAAGGGTTTCAAAATCGAGTGTCCCGATTTATGTATACATGTATGTATGCACGCATCTATATATATATATATATATATATATATATATATATATATAATGTGTATGTATAATTGTATTCGTGTATGTACATATGTGTATATATATGTGTGTACATGCACATATCCGCATATAGCCCCCCCCAAAAAAAACAAAAAAAAGTCTCGCAACGTTGATT